GCTCCATGACGTGACTAGGCCTGGTATGCTAGAAAGACTGTCACATTTGTCTGGACCGACACCCCACGCTCCTACTTTGAGCCGTGAGGATTTTCTACTGACAAGCACACGGGTGGGCTAGGTCCGTGCGACCGATTCGCTGCCAACTGGAGTTCAATCCACGACCCTTTGTTCGAAGGAAAGTGACGTCATGCTAACGTCACAACCTATGATACCAATGTAAACGGTTGACCGCAATACCCTGTGTTGCGCCGTCAAAAAGGTGCACCACGATGTCAATTTACGACAACCCAACTAATTATATCGTGAAGTTTGAGCCGAATCAGCTCCATAACATATGACTAGGCCCGGTATGCCAGCAGGACCGTCACAGTAGTAGGGCCCATCTAATGTAATATGATTACCAAGGTGTAACATTGGGACCGACCACAAGTCCAAAAAGTGTTCAACCCATATTGGCTTTCCCCATATTTTCCGTAGTAGACAATAGATTGTAATTTTACTTTATTTTGCGGACTGTACAACGTGCGACGGGCTGCTGGAGTGGCCCATCTGTGGATCCCGCCAAGATTTGTCCCACGTTCGACTAAATAACGCGAAGCGACCTTAAATTTAGACAGACCCGATGCCTTTGCTCTTGGATTTCGGCTGAGCGGCGTTAATTTGAAGGGTATAGTGACCCGAGTAAGCCGCATAATGCCCCGATTATTTGATTAGAAGTGATATAGTTGTATTGGTACTGCCTGGTAGAGGTCAACGAGGCTAGTAACCCTAGGTACACCTACTTACGATATGGCCATCAATCCTACTAGTCTTGATCTTGCAATGAAAGGCGCGTGCTTTCAACAACAATGTCGCTCAATTCCACACATCAAACTTATGATATTTTAGTGCGGTCGCTACAACATCCATCCCCGTGAAATAAGACACCGGTGACGTTTTTCGAAGTACGTTTGAGGCGGGCTAGAGGAGCGGCGTCAAGAAAAGTCAAAGCTTGGGACCTTCATTGGAGCAAACATGTCGCATGTAAGCTATAAGGTTGCAACGCAATAATTTCGAAAGAGCCCAACATAATTAGGCCTTGACGCACGCTTTTTTAACGTCGATTCAAACCTATTTCCGTAAAGTCGGCCGATCAGATTGTGGGCAATAAAGACGTAGCCGAGCATTAGAAGGAAAGGTCGCCTTCAAATACCGCTTCTCGTTATGGTCTCCATTAATCATAAAAGAGCGCCTGACCGCAACAATTTTGCCCTTACTACATATTTCAATTGAGAATCTTATCCTGCATGTCGTTCTGCAAGCGGATAGAGGCAAGCTCTTCAGTTGCCCCGTTGGCGGCCCTGCTTTCGAGATGGAGGTTCTGCGGGATCATAATTGTTAGAGATTGGTGATTAAGGTCAGCCGAATTACTGTGAATAGGGTTCGGACCGAGTTAGGGTTTCGATTTTGTGAGCGCCGGCGCGCGTGCAACGAGGTGAAGCGGTTGAAAGAACCGTCAGTGTGAGCCTTGAATGAGAAATCGTATGGCATTGATGGAGTACTTTTGAGTGACTTAGACGGTGAGCCTAGTAGGCTAGTGAGTCTAGTGGAAGGGGGAGATCCGTGAGACAATAGTGAGGAAAAAGAGTATTGTCACATATCATTCTAAGAGAGATTTGTGGAGAGAAGGAAGCCGCTTGTAAGGCCCTTCTTTGTTCTTTTCTATGATGCATGGCTGCCATCAATGAGTGATGCGCATGAGTGTTGGGCACCACGGGAAGACCCGATGCCGAGTGACCACTACACAATTGAGCCCGATCTCAACACATTATAGTCCCACAACCACGGAGATAAAGAATCTCAATCCCGCAATTGAGGGGAGAGAATTGGTCGGTATGGAAGGCCAAGATTCAGGCACTTACGGAATACAAGGGCCTTGTGGCCGTTGAGCAACCGAAGTCTGGGGTTGGGAGGAAAGTGTCAGGGCAAGCAAAGGCGCTGATAATCCGGCCTACTCAAGATGCCTTCGTGAAGCTGATTGTAGGAAAGCTTACCGCAGCAAAGGCATGAGTAAAGTTAATGCGGGTCTTTGAGGAGACGAGCTGTTAGAAGTATTTGCGCACT